GCCACTAATGGTAAAGAACAAAAGGATTTGAGATACCTTAGTATTGATCAGTATGTGAAAAGTATTCACAGATCTTGTGATATCAGGACCAAGCAGAGAACATTCCAGTTGCACAGAGCACCCAAGGATCCAAGCAACTGTGACCTCAGGTTGGCTCTGGCTGCCAGTGAGAGACGCTGAAGGCAGCTAGAACAGCATGCAGGCACCTGCCCTGCCAGGGTGCCAAGGGGAGGGCTGCAGTTCTGTGATGCAGGTGGCTGCAGTCAAAGTGATTTTCTGTGAAAATGAGGACATGCAACCAGCACTCCAGCCTGAAGGAGCTCAGAGTGGCCCCTGGTACCTCTGCTCTTCCTGAATGAGGTTCCTAATCCTGCCTGAGCAGACATAGTGCAGTCAGCCCTCAGAAGCTGGAAGGAGGCCTCATTTATGGACTGAGAGGTCCCTTGGAGAAGACCTGGAGGATACTTCCTACCCCTAGGAATGCTGGCTGGAACAGGCGAACACCGAACTCCTGTGGGCCTCAGGCCTGAGAGGAAGGCCCGGGCCTGACCAGCCTGAGGGAGAGGAGCTGGTTACCTGCCTTCCTTCCCAGGCTATGGAGGAGCCTTGAGGGTCAAGGCCCTCCCTGTGGCTGTGATGAATGTCTCTCTGACTATCACAGATGCTTTAGGACAACAGTCCCCAACCTTTTTAGCAACAGGTTCCAGCTTTGTGTAAGACAATTTTTCCACAGATTTGGGGTGGTTCTGGGATGATTCAGAGGATCACATGACATAGGTCCCTGGAATGTGCATTTCACAATGGGGCTGTTGCTTCTGTGAAAATCTAATGCCTCTGCATCTGTCAGGAGGTGGAGCTCAGGCTGGTAGAGCCAGGGCTGGGGAGCAACTGTCAACAAGGGCAAAGGTCCACTCACTTCCCTACCACAGTCTCCTGGTCTGTGGCCACAGACCAGCAACAGTCCAGGGAAAATCGTTGCTTTGGGATCTGCTGGGGTCAGAAACAAGTGTCCATTTCCATTACAGATGGGTCGAACTGCTGTGTAAGCCAAGTGCTTTAATTAATACTACTCTCTCTGGGCGTGGTGACACAGCCTGTGACCCCCCCCATTCTGGAGGCTGAGGCGAGAGGATTGCCATGAGTGTGAACCCCACATGGCCTAAATAGTGTGTTCAAGGCCAGCCTAAACTACATAGCGGAACCCTGTGTCAAAAAACAGGCCGGGGATTTAGCTCAGTGGTTCTGGCGCCTGCCTCTCGAGCACAAGGTCCTGAGTTTAATCCCTGGTACCTGCCCCCCCCAAAACCCAAGAAAAAAAAAAAAGTTTCAAAAAAAAAAATCAGAACAAAAGGACTCCCTTTCAGCCTGGGATCTCAATGGAGGTGGAGAGAGAGGGCAGAGGGTGGGGCCAGCTGGTTCTGGGCTATTGGAGGCCACTGGTGCTGCCCCAGGTCCCACTGTGCCAGGGAGCTGAGTGGCGCACAGGGGAGAGGCAGGGCAGTGGTTGTAGTGCGGGCTGTTGTTGGCCATGGAGAAGGTTCTTGTGTCATGACAGCTGGGGATCACTTGTCACATCACAGATCCTGACTTCTAATTAAGTGGCACTAGCTTCCCCCCTTACCCTCCTGGGTAGAAAAAGGTCTCGGCTAGGGATGGATGAGGAAATGGAAGCTTGGGGACACCTGGGAGCCATGGACCAAGGGATGTGGGCGGAGAGGCCCAGTGCTGGTCGGAGTGGGCCTGGTAGGGCCAGATTAGACTTGGGACCTGAGGGACACATCATGAGCCTTCTGCAGGTGCCACCTCATGTCAGCCCGCACTGGGTGGAGCCAGGGCGAAGTCCCCGCTGTTGGCCATGGGCCTGCACAACCTGGCACTCAGGGTCCGAGTTCACATGTGTGACAGGCTAGGAAAATCCCAGGGTGAAAAGATCAAACCTCTCGGCCCAATGTGAGCCTGAGAAGCCCAGGCCCAGTGAGCAGAACTGCTGACAGCAGAGAATGTGCTGCGGGTGTCGTGGTGGCTGTGTGGTCCCGGGCCTGCTGTGAGGAGCCGTCCTCCTAGCAGAGGGGTGTGGGAGGTCTTGGGGCACCTGCCCTACTTGGCTGGGGCGGTTGTGGGAGAGACAGGGCAGGGTCTCCAGACAATAGCTGCCATTCTGTCAGGACATTCTCAGAGGGATCGGCTCCTCTGTGGCCCCCACGGGGCCTGGGTAAGGATGGCTGGAGCGTGCTGGCCCTGGGGAGCTGCCCTGGTCTGGCTGGGTTCAGGCAGAGGAAGAGGATGTCTCTGGGATCAGCTAACAGTGAGCTCTTGGCCCAGCCATTCACTACCAGGACCACAGTGGGTTCACGTGGGCATGGCCAGGTGTGGCACTGGGGCACCGCAGCAGGTCCCAGCTGCCTAACCATGGTCTGCAACCTTTCCTAAGCAGACCAGACTGCAGAGGGCAGGCTTTGAAGCTTGCACCAGGCCAGAAGGGGAAAGATTCCTGGACCAGTCCCTCCATATGGTGCTTGGGCTGTCAGTCCTCCTCATCTGGGGCAGGTGGACAGGGTGTGGGTTCAATGTTACTGGCCACTTTTGGGGTCCTTAAAGAGGAGACTGTGCCATCCTGCCCCTGAGAAACGGTAAGTGTTGGGCTGGATTGGACGACAGTGCTCACCTGTCAGCTCTCTTGCGCCCCCACGTGGTAACACAGGCCTCTCCCTCCACTCATCTCCCTTCCACCCTCACCCTGGCCCGCCTGCCCCAGAGGCCACCAGCTTCCTGCTCCAGCCGTGACCAGGCGAGCACACCCAAGGGTCTTGCGTTTCCGTGCAATCAGCCTTTCCTGTCAGTGCACATACTCCCCCCACAGCTGACAGCCCTCCCCAGGTTCCTCTGCGGGGCTGGGAATGCCTTGTCCCCATGTGGGAGGGGTGTGCAGGGCCCCCGGGGATGCAGGTAGGAGACAGGCGCCTGAGAGAAAGGGTTCTCTGTCAGTCCCAAAGGCCCAGACCATCACCTTCCAACTCCGTGATGGGCCACATCTACACCATTCAGGCCCCAGGAGCCACTGGGGGGGCCTCAAGGGGAATGACAGAGAGGGAATTTTCCAATGCCGGGAATTGAACTCAAGACCTTGTACTTGTGAGGCAGGTGCAGCTCCACTGAGCTAAATCCCTGCCCTCTCCTTTTTTTTCGGTACCAAGAATCTGGGCTTTGCACTTGCCAAACACTGTGCCTCTGAGCTATATCCCTGGCCCTGCTAGTTTGATTTCTGAAGTACTGGAAGTTGAATCCAGAGCCTTGAATTGAGTCCCAGCTCCAACTAATTTGTTTGCATCGGAGCATAAAAACCCAGGGGCACTGTACTGCATTCCCAGCCCTGTTTTTTTTTGGTACTGGGAATCGAACTCAGGTCCTTGCACTTGCGGGGCAGGCCACAGAGCCACTGAGCTAAATCCCCAGCCCTGTTTTTAAGGTTCTGGTTTTTTTCACTGAGACAGGGTCTCACTATGTAGTTCAGGCTAGCCTTGAACTCACTATATAGCCAAGACTGGCCTCAAACTCAAGTGATTCTCCTGGCTCAGCCTCTAAGTACTGGGATCGTAGGTGTGCACCACCCTGCCTGGCAGTCCTTTTTTTTTTTTTCCACCAGGGATCAAACTCTGGACCTTGTGCTTGGGAGGCAAGTGGTAGAACCACTGAGCTAAATCCCCAGCCTCTTTTTTTTGGTACCGGGGATTAAACTTGGGTCCTTGCGCTTGCACAGCAGGTGGCAAAACCACTGAGCTAAATCCCTGGCCCATCCCAGCCTCTTAATTTTGACAGGGTCTCAGTAAATCAATCAGGCCCAAACTTGCAATTACCTTGCCTCAGCCTCCCAGAGGATTAGGATTACAATGCTACCAGGCCACCTGAGAAGGGCAGACTTCATTCATTCCTCATTAAATAGCACCTGGGAGGCACCAGTTAAGGCACCTCAGGGTCGGGAGTAGCAGACCCCAAGCTCCAGTGAAGGGTCCTCTGGTGACACCTCACCCCTGAAGAGGTCCTGCACCCTTTCCAAACCTCCAAGAGAAGCAGCAGACCCCCCAATCCTTCAGGGGTGTTTATTTCCCGGTCAGAATAGAAGCAGGGACTGGCTCTGCTGCCTGTCAAGGCCTGGGCCTGACAAACACCACTTGGGGACCGGGGAAGGGAGGGGACGGGAGGCGCAGGAGACAGCTCCCAACTGTGTGCACTTGGTCCCATGTTTGTCCTGGCTGGGTCCGGGGAGGGCCTGCCTGGGGATGGTGGCACTGAAAGCCAGGGCAGAGGCAGCAGGCCAGCCGGCCCGGAGGACGGCACAAATGGAGGCAATAAATACTGGCAGGCCAGGCCCAAGGCTTTGGGGCTGTGAGGCCCTGGTGGGACAGGTAAGGCTCAGCAGCTGGCTTCACCCTCAAGGGCTCTGTGGGGAGGGGTGTGAGCACTGCCCAGGGGCAGAGAAGGCAGAGGACACCGGCCTCCCAGGTGGGGCTGGAGGCAGTTGGTTTTGGCAATCTGCCCCTCCCCGAGCCCTGGCTGGAGTAGGGAGAGGGCTGGCCAGGCCCTGGCAGGCTGGGCAGGAGCAACAGCAGCACACCCCAGGCCTCGAGGGTCGTCGGGATCACAGACAGGGCAGGGATGGGGACCACATGCTCATGCAGACAGGGGGAGTTAAGGGTTAGCGACAGCCCCCAGCACACGTTCCACATGTTAAGGCATCATGGTTAGACGGTGACTGACAGCAACAAATGGACTGGCCAGGGCAGAGGAGGGTGGACTGGCCAGGGCCCGGCAGTGCGCACCCCAGCTCAGCCAGGCGGAGACCATGGGGCTGGGGAGCCCCACAGTGCTCCACTCCCTCTGAAAGCCAGCGTCCAGTCTGGGCCTGGGGAGGATGGGCAGAGGGAACCCGGAGGGACACAGAGGGGGTGGAGGCTGGGCTGGAGCCCCTCCCCCGACAGGCAGAGGCAAAAGCAGCAACGTGACACTAGAGACCACAGGGGCCTGTGGGCAGAGAGCAGGGGAAGGTGTGTGGAGGAGCTTCCCGAGATGGACCGGGACGGCGGTAGGAGAGGCCCTGTCAGCACTTTGGTCTGGGGTGGGGAGGGAAATGGGGAGGGGCATGTTCGTCCGTCCATCCGTCTGTCCATCTACCCTGCCCGCCTCCCGGCCAGGCCTCAGTCCTTCCACTCCTTCTTGATGGTGAGATTCCACTCCCAGGACAGATGATCCGTCTTGTCGTCATCTGTGAAGCGGGACTTGATGTTGTAGCTGCCCCGCGCCAGCATGCCCTTGGGGGCCTCCTCCATGGGCGTCAGGAACTCGTACTCCTCTGCCCGGGGCCCGTAGCTCCCCACCATGTAGTCGGTCTTGTCAACTGTGGGACAGGAGGAAGGGCATGGCCACCAGCGCTGCCGGCTACTCCTGGGACGCCCCAGCCCCGGCTGCCCCGGCCCTCACTCACTCTTGACGCCCTTCCGGTAGGTGTGCTGGATGTACTTCATGCCCGACACGATCTCCCTGTTCACCTGCAAGGACCCAGGGCGGGGTCAGCCAGGCTCCCCCTTGCCCCCCGCGTCCCCCCGCAGCTAGGCCTTACCCGGAAGGAGATTTTTATCCGGTACTCCACACCCTCCTTGAGCACGAAGGACTGTTTCCGGAAGCTCTCCAGGTCACCTGCCGGGGAGGCGGCTCAGCTGTCCGGGAGGGCCCGGCCAGCCCCCCAGCCCCCCAGCCTCCCAGCCTCCTCCCGCACAAGCAGCCTCCCAGGGCCCCAGGGCGCAGTTCCCATCCGCCACACCAGAGGGCGCAAGTGCCCGGGAAATTATTTTTAGGGCTGGAGGCAGAGGCCAGCGGCCCCACCCTGGGCGACGGGTGCCACTCACCTGTGAGGTCCAGCTCCAGCGGGCCTGGGGCGGTGCTGCACACTAGGGTCAGACGAGTCACGATGACGTTGGGGCAGCTGGGGTCTGGGGAGACAGTAAGTTAGGGCTCACCCTGGTCCATGCTCACTCCTGGAAGCAGGTGGCCAAGGGAGGGGCAGGGAGCAGGGCAGGAGCTCAGGGAGACAGGTGTCCCGCCACAGCCACTCACCAGCGGAGACGGCCACGCGGCCCAATAGGGCCTCCTTGTACTTGCGAAGGCTCTCATCGTCCTTGTCCAGCTCCTGGATCTCCTGGATGCTCTTCTGGGCCGGGGGCTTGTAGTTGACTGAATGTTCATCCTCCTCATTCTCGGCTGCGATCTGGGCCAGCTGCTCAGCTGTGGGCTCCTGCTCGGCCATGCTCACCTCTAGCCTGGGTCTGGGACACCTGTGGGTGGGGGAGGGCCATGATGCTGGTCAATCTGGGACACCCTCCCACCCCCAGCCTCGGTCAGGGTGCTTGCTCTGTGCCGAAGGGGGTGGGTCCAGGGGAGGGGCACTGGTGGCACCAGGCACCAGAGGAAGGCCCTTGCCCACCCCGTACAGTGACCAAGAACTAAGTAGCAAATGCGACCTGTTCCTCAAGGAGGGAGGGCACATCTCCTCCCCCTGATGTGGTAGCCCCCAGACCCAGCTGGCAGGGCCAAACTAAAATCCTTGAGTACTGCTGGCTTCTGAGCCAAACAGCCCCTTGCCCCAAGGAACCCCTAGGGTTGGTTCAGACTGGGTGTGCTTGAGGAAGTATGCTTCTGTCCCAGCCACGTGCAGGACATGGTCTATCCCAGCTCGTGCTATGAACTCAGATCTCGGGGCCTTCTGCACCCTACGGGGCACAGAGAGGCGCGCAGCCCCTGAGCATCCTTAGATTGTGCCCACTTAGGAGGGTTTGTGGCTACAACTTTTGCTGCTCCAGCGGTACGCAGGACCCTTTCTGGACCCTGGCTCGGGAGCGCCCGGGGAGGCGTCGACCCCGCAGGGACGGGCGCGGTCATCCCCAGCTTCCTAGGGCCTCGGTTGCTGCATCAGCGCGCCAGGTTCCCGAGGGGCGCCCGAAACCCTTTCGGATCACCGCGGGCGGCGCGATAGGCGAGGACTCGCCCTTCCCTCCAGGCCGCCCAAGGCCCCAACTCTGGGGACGCAGGACGGCGCGGGGGGGGCCCCGGGGCAGGCCGGGGGGCCCCGGGGCAGGCCAGGGCCCCGCTTTCAGCGAGCCCGCGGTCGCCAGAGCGTGGCCGCCGGCGACAGGATTCCGGGCGCGGCCCGCACTTCCGCAAGGGCTGCAACTGGGCGGGGCGGGGCGCGCGGCTGGAGCTCAGGACCGGGTCCCACCTGGGAGCCGCCCGCACGGCCCGCGGTGTCCGGCCGTGCCCACAGTGCGACGCCGCGGCCCAGACCTAGGGGGCCGCTCGGGCGGGGCCTGCGCTGCGCCCACGGCCTGGCCCGCCCGCCACCGCCCCCGCGGTCTCGAAGACCCCGCGGGGCCTAGGCCAGCGGCACAAAGGCGGACCCTCAGCCGCGTGCCGCCCGGGTACTCACCGGGGGCTCGATCGCCGCGCTCGCGCTCCCTCCCGCACCAAGTGACGAACGTCGCCCGCCGCCCGGACGGCCACTTCCGGGGTCACACGACTTCCGCTCCGGCGGGCGGGGGGCAGTCCGCGCATGCGCAGTGGGTGGGGCGGCGAGCTCCTCCGCCATCTTGCAGCCAGTGGCGTGGGAGGGCGGCCTCGGGAGCAGTGGTTTGTGGCCAACTGCGGCTGTGCGGGGACCCAGTGCCGGGGCCCCCTGGGGTTGGAAGTGGCCCGACCGGGGCTTGTTCTCTGGGTCGGCAGTCCTCCTAGTGGGGTGGCGTCCCTTGCGTGGGCCGTCCGGCGGCCGTGGTCCCGTGGCGCCCCAGGTCCCCGCCCGCGCACTCCCATCCGTTCCCCTCAGGCGCGCGGCCGTGGCGTCGCACCCCTGACCGTGGCCTTCCCTCAAGCCTGTTTCAGACCCTGGGCCACGCGGCCACTTGCAATAAGCCGCGTCGCAGGGCACCGCGCTGCCCCCTGGACGGAGAACACGGTCACTGCAGACCCCAAGGCGTGCAGGCCGGACGTCCACACCCCACCCGGGCCTGCTGAAAGTCCCTCCGGTCCCGCCGGCCGCGGCTCACCGCACGTGACTGGTGGTTTGGAGGTGGACACGGCGAGGCGCTTTCTGGAGGTCTCCCAGTGTGGGAGGGCTGTGTAAGAGTCGCCTTGTCCTCGGGTCGTGGCTGGAAAGTTTCCCTGGCCCGAGGCACTTCTTTCGGCTCTTAGTGAATGTGCAGCTGTCCCCAGGCTTTGGGGCTTACGGAAGTCTACTCTTGGATAAGCCAAGTGCTTTTAGAAAACCTGAAACCTGTCAGAAAATTTCAAACGCACTTCGTTAGTAATCTATGCCTGTGTTAAAGTGAACTGTGAAACTTCGCAGCTCCAGACGCCGGCAGTGCAGCACTGCAGGGTCCGATCAGGGAGCAGCTCGCGGGGTCTGCTGAAGCTCAGCCCCGGCTGCCCCCACGGAGGCCTCCGGCAGAAAGCAGGCCAGCCCGAGAGGGAACTTAGTCCACAGAAGGGCCGGCTTCTGTCTGCTCCGCTGGCCACACAGGTCCGCTGCGAGTTGGGGGCCGTGGGCCCTTGCCCTGACACTGAGGTACAAGGGTGGCGTTCCAAACCCAGTGGGAGCCGGGCTTGGCAGTGCGCCCTGTCATTCAGCTCTGGGGAGCTGGAGGCAGGAGGAGGAGCCCAAATTGGAATCCAGCCCGGGCAATCTTTCTTTTCTTTCTTGCGAAGATTGAGCTCAGGACCTTGCGCTTGCCAGGCAGGCACGTGCCGCTGAGCTAAGTCCCCGGCCCTTTTCTTTCTTTCTTTTTTTGGTACCAGGGATCGAACTCGGGTCCTTGTTCTTGCAAGGCAGGCGACAGAACTACTGAGCTAAATCCCCGGCCCCGTCTTTTCTTGTCTTGTCTTTTCTTTTTCTTTCTTTCCTTTCCTTCCTTACTTTCCATCTTTCCTTCCTTCCTTCCTCCCCCCCCCCCACAGGGTCTCCCTATGTAGTTTAATGTAGTTTAGGCTGGCTGGGAACTCACTCTGTGGCCCAGGCTGGTCTTTGATCTCCTGGCGATCCTCCTGCCTCTGCCTCCTGAGTGCTAGGATCACTAGGATCACAGGCGTGCACCACCATGCCTGCCTCAGCATGTATTTGTATTCCTGAGGAAAAGGGCCCTTTTTTGGTCAACAACACTTGGCAACACCACCACTTGCTTCAAGTAGCTACATTTCTGTGAAAAGGGTTTCCAAAACTGACCCAGACAGCAGCTCCTCCCTGTCCCGTACCGTGGGCGGGAACCCTACCAAGCCCTGTGGGGACGGCCGCCCTGAGCCTCTCGGCCCCCTTCAGGAAGCTTACGGCCCTGCACCCAGCTGGGCTCCTCCCCACACAGGCTCCGAGCAAAGCGCAAAACCTCCCAACTTGCTCCGTCCAGACCTTGGAGGCCCCAGACCAGTCACTGCGCTCCACAGTTCCGCTGCCCATCTGAGCCAGCCTACACTCAAGGCAGGCCTGCCCTTCTAGAAATGAAGGACAGCAAGACCCTCCCCTCTCACCTCTAACCCCGTTAGGGCTGTGTGAAAACCTGAGGCTGAAGATACAGATGCGTGGCTTCAGACACACCCAACGTACACAGGTTCGTAACCACCCTGCTCATCTGACCAACAGCATGTGCCTGCAAAATAAAGTGGACAAAGCAAGCATTTTACACAGCTTGGAGATCTTACATTGTAGCAGGTACCTGGCGGAGTGACTCGCCTGGTAGAACAGCGCCCCCCCCCCCAGTGGCCCTTCCTCTCTGGTGCTGTCCTGTTTTGCTTCTTTTCTTAGCTTCCAAGAGCTAAGCAGCATCCCCCCCACCCCCATTATATTTCTGCCTTGGAGCCACCTAACCATGGATTGAATCCACTTAAAATGAGCCGCCAGCACTCAGGAGGCTGAGACAGGAGAATGGCAAGTTTGAAACTAGCCTGGATGGTATAGCAAGACCCTGTCTTGAAGAAGAAAAAAGAGAGGGTGATGATCTTTTTTTTTCTTTTTCTAGGATGATAATCTTTTTCTTTTCTTTTCTTTTTGAAACAGGGTCTGGACATGTAGTTCAGGCTGGCCTTGAACTCACTATGTCGCCCAGGCTGGCCTGGAACTCATGGCAGTCCTCCTGCCTCAGCCTCCTGAGTGCTGGGATTACAGGTGTGTGCCACCACGTCCAGTTTAGGATGGTCATTTTTTTGTATCTGGGATTGAACTCAGGACCTTGTGTCTGTGAGGCAGGCGTGGCACTACTGAGCTACATCCCCAGCCCAGGATGGTAATCTTTCCCAATGTAATGTCCTAAAAGTGTATCTTTTTAACTTACTTTTCTCTCATTTTAAAAGGGTGTATTAAAGGGCTGGGGATGTAGCCCAGTGGCACTGCACCTGCTTCTACAACTACAAGGTCTTCAGTTCAATACCCGGTACAAAAAAACAAAGGAAAAGTGTGTATTAGAAATGTCTTTTTTTTTTTTTGGTACCAGGGATCGAACTCGGGCCCTTGTGCTTGTGCAGCAGGCAGCGAAACCACTGAGCTAAATCCCTAGCCCTAGAAATGTCTTTTGAGCTGGGTATGCTGATACACCCTTGTAATCCCAGCACCAAGGAGACTGAGGCAGGAGGATTGCCATGAGTTCCAGGCCAGCCTGGGCAACAGTGAGTTCAAGGCCAGTCTGAACTACATAGTGAAACCCTGTCTCAAAAAAAAAAAAAGGGGCCGGGGCTGGGGATTTAGCTCAGTGGTTTCGCTGCCTGCCGCGCAAGCGCAAGGACCGGAGTTTGATCCCTGGTACCAAAAAAAAATTCTTTACCATGGAAAAAAAAAAAGAATTGTTTCTTCTGTTCTCAATGTTTGGTTAGTTCTGATTTTTTGGTACTGACTTGCAGTTTTTCAGTCCCCTCACCCTGGAAAGATGGAAACTGTTTTATGGTCCTGGGGACTGAAACCAGGGGTGCTCTGCCATTGAACCACACTCCCGGCCTTTTTGATTGTTTGAGAGGTTTTGCTGGGTTGTCAGGAGGCCTCTTCCTGCCTCAGCCTCCCGATGTGCACCACTATTCCTGCCTAGCAACTTTTTTGGTACCGAGAAATGAACCCGGGGCTTTCAGCACTCAACTATATCTTATACCCAGTCACCTCCCTGCCCCTTTTTAAAACTCTGAGACAGGACCTTGTAGTCTCACTAATTCAGTAAGTTGCTCAGGCTGGGCTGGAACTTGGAATCCTCCCGCCTGGGGTCCAGCTAGAAACTCTATTTTTAGCCCGAGTACCGTCTATCCATACTGAAGGTGCTTCCTGAGAAATACCCAGCAGACTGAGTTCTCTAGGACTCAGAGCTGCTCCTTACACCATCTGTCAGCCCCAGGGTGGGAAGAGTCCACCCTGCACCCTTGGACAATCCATGGTTTGGCCTGAGCCACTAGCTAAGGAAGCCAGGATGTGTGGGCGAGAGCCCCCAGGCTCCAGATCTGGGGATTGAGTTCCCAGGTGTCCTCTGACATCTCCTCCCACCTCATCTGTAGGTAGGACAGGCCCCAGCTGGCGCTGTGACTGCTGGGTTTCCACTTCTGGCCAGCTGGGGTCTTCTGATCACACCGTGTAGTCAGTTCCTGGAAGCCAGGCCACCCAGCCTGGATTAGTCCGCCCTCCACTCTCAGCCCCGCTCCACACTCTCCTAAGTATTTTGAAATGCTGGTCTCTACTAACTCTGCATTTCCCAGCTGGAAAGTGTCTGCGTGTGGTGCTGGGGTGGCCCCTGGGCCTGTGTGTGCTGTGCGCCTGCTCCCCACAGATGCAACCCCCAGTCCTTTAGCTGTTTCTTTTTGTTTTTTTGAGGCAGGGTCTCCCTTTGTAGCCCAGGCTGGCCTCGAATTTGCAGCAGTCCTCCTGCCTCAGCCTCCCAAGTGCTGGGATTACAGGCGTGAGCCACCATGCCCGGCTAGCTGTGATTTATAGAAGAACCCTGCCATCAATGGTTTACTTTTCTCTGGTCAGTGGTCTCACTTTAGGCTTGTTTAAAAGACAAATGTGTGGTTCTTTTTATTTGCCAGTTTTCAACCTCCAAAGGTGAACATTAGATATTGTTTCTTAAGCAATAGTAAGAACTTGGGTGTTTATACATTTCCCAAGGACTTAACAAAAAAATACTAAATCTGTTCAACCATTAATAGTAATTTTTTTTTTTTGGAGATAGGGTCTTGCTGTGTAGTTTAGGCTGACCTTGAACACAGTGAAGCCCAGGCTGGCCTTGAACTCATGGCAATCCTGCCTCAGCCTTCCAAATCCTCGGATTACAGATATGCACCACCATTCCTGGCCATTAATGGGAACTTGAATGACTTGGGTTTTTTTGTTTTTTTTGGTACCGGGGGATTGGATTGAATGACTTGTTTATGGAGAATTTAGACATTTTTTAAAAAGTAATGTGCTACTGGGGATTTAGTTCAGTGGTTCTGCTGCCTGCCTGGCAAGTCCAAGGTCCCGAGTTCAATCTCCGGTACCAAAAAAAAAAAAGTAGTGTGTTCACGTTAAACTTTACAGTGTATTAATGTAATGATTATTAATATCAAATATAAGTAGAATTAAGATGCTAATTTTAAAGTAATTAACACACTACAGTATTTTATAATTTATTTCTACAACTCGGATAACATAAAAACAAACTCTGGCCTGTTCAGACCACATAATCACAAACATGTATTGAAAAGAGATTTACAATCTGGTAATGTCTCAGTTACTTTCTCCTTGCTGAGACACAGCATCTGATACCCACAATTTAAAGGAGTTTATCCTGGCTCAGTGGGTAGAGGTCCATGGTTGCCTGGCTCCACAGCACGGCAGGCAGGAAGCAACAGGGGATGAGGAAGGAGGAGGGACATTCTAGCTCTCAGGCAATGGCCACAGGCTTCACTGCCCTACGTCACAGCCATAAACCCATTGGTGGACTGGTCCACATTCACACCCCCATGATCCACTGGCCTCTGAAAAGCCCTACATATGGGGACATCCAGGTGTAAGCACCGAGGTCCCAGAAGACTCATAAATATCCTTTTATGTGAAATGCATTTAGTCCATCTCTAAGAGTTGCCAAAATACTACTAAGTTTCAACATTACTGGAAAGTCCAAGTTTAAATTCTCCTGAGACTTAAAGCAACTCTGCTGTGAGTTCCTGTAAAAATGAAAAGGCAGGGCAGGCATTTAGCTCAGTGGTGCCGCGCCTGCCTTGTAAGAGCAAGGTCCTGA